AGTTGGAGTGGGTGGTGCAGGTGCAGGTGCAGTTCAGGTGGTTGCCCGTGGTTGGGGACAAGGCTGAGGAGAGTGGAGGGAAGTGGGGGTGGCAAAAAGGGGTCGAGGGGGAGGGGGAGGGGAGTTGGAGTGGGAGGTGCAGGTGCAGGTGCAGTTCAGGTGGTTGCCCGTGGTTGGGGACAAGGCTGAGGAGAGTGGAGGGAAGTGGGGGTGGCAGGAAAAAGGGGTCACGAGGGATCCTGGTGACGAAAGTGTCCTCTACCTGCGTGGTAACAGTGTCAACATCCCGGCTGTGATTTCTCAACTTTGTTTTGCAAGATGTTCCCCCTGAGGGAAGCAGTCAAGGGGACACACGACCCCTCTGTCTGATTACTGACCGCTGCACGGCAGTCTGCAATGGTGTCCAAATAAAAAGTTTAACTGTAAATGAACAGTAGTTTACACAATAAAAAGACAAATTCCTCCGTGACCACATGGCCGGGCGGGGCCCGATCAGGGACTCCCACGCCCCGCCTTCCTCTTGCGGGGTTTTCTCCATATCCACATGCCATCTTCTTACTTAAAACTGTTTTAAAGCCCATTTAAGCAACATTTTAACTTCTTTTTTTCTTGAAATCAACTCACTTTCAGAAGCTTAGTAGGTCCGTGTACTTTTTTAATATATATTTTTATTAATTTCAGGGATGAAGGGAGAGGGAGAGAGAGAGGGGAAGAAAAACATCAACGATGAGAGAGAATCATTGATCGGCTGCCTCCTGCACGCCCCCTACTGGGGATTGAGCCCGAAACCCAGGCATGTGCCCTTGACTGGAATCGAACCCGGGACCCTTGAGTCCACAGGCCAATGCTCTATCCACTGAGCCAAACTAGCTAGGGCTTTAATATGTTTTTATTGGTTTCAGAGAGAGAGATAGAAACATTAATGATGAGAGAGAATCATCAGTTGGCTGCCTCCTGCACGCCCCACACTGGGGATTGAGCACACAACCTGGGCATATGCCCTGAACAGGAATCGAACTGTGACCTCCTGGTTCATAGGTCGATGCTCAACCACTGAGCCATGCTGGCCGGGCGTAGGTCCGTGTAATTTGTTTTGTCCTAAACAAGAATAACGTTAGAGACACCAGTTACATATTTTTTCCAACTCCCCATAAAATAAATACATAACCATTTTTGAAAGATTAGAATGTTTCCATGCCTCTGTATTCTATGGTTTTACTGTATTTTCTTTCTTTTAATAAATACATTTTTTAATTGATTTCAGAGGAAGGGAGAGAGAGAAACATAGATCGGTTGCCTCCCTTACGTGCCCAGACCAGGGATCAAACCCACAACCTGGGTTTGTGCTCCGACCAGGAATCGAACCCGCCACCTCTTGGCATATGAGACGCCGCTCCCATCCACTGAGTCACCTGGCCTAGGTTTTACTGTATTTTCTTTGCACCCTCTCTCCCGGAGCAAACAAGTGCCTGGTATATATACATATTTTTTTAATATATTTTTATTGATTTCAGAGAGGAAGGGAAAGGGAGAGAGAGACAGAAACATCAATGATGAGAGAGAATCATTGATTGACTGCCTCCTGCACACCCCCTACTGAGGATCGGGCAGGTGCCCTGACTGGGAATCGAACCCGGGGCCCTTCAGTCCGCAGGCCGACGCTCTGTCCACTGAGCCAAGCCGACCAGGGCAACTCCTGGCAAATTGGTGTCTGTGTTTCCACGTCCTTAGGTGAGGAGAAAGGTTGTGTGGCCCCAGCAGGCAGTCTTGGTTGGTCTTGGAAATGAGGCAGGATGGACGAGAGCTCACTGAAACACCACCAGCTCACCCAGGGCTGAGCGGAAAGAAGCAGAAGAGAATGGAGCAGAAGGAAGGCAGAGTGGCGGGCGGGTGCCCCCTACACCGCCTGGCTCTTCTGGGCTTGGCTGTCCAGCGTGGAGAGCGTGAAGGACTTGGACGTGAAGGACTTGGACTCCCTGACCGTGGACTCCTCGGTCAGCACGTTGCGCAGCCTGGCGGGGAGGGACTTGAGGAGCCGGGCGTGGAAGCCCTGGGCGGCGACCACGTAGATGATGGGGTTGATGCAGCTGTTGACGTAGGCGATGGAGACGCACAGGGCGTCGAACCGGGACGCGGCTCTGAAGTGGTGGTGTTTATTGTGGAAGAACGCCAGCAGCATGCCGGACACCTGGTAGGGCAGCCAGAGGACGAAGAAGCTGGCCACCACCGCCACCACCACCTTGAGCGTCTTGGTGGAGCGTGTGGCGCTGCGGCTCCAGGCCCGGATCAGGAGGAAGCTGTAGCAGATGGCGAGGACCACCAGCGGACACAGAAAGCCCACGAACAGCCGGACGGTGGCCACGGCCCTCTCCTTCTGGGAACCGTTGCGGCCGTAGCTAACGACACACTCCGTCTTGGGTGGGAAGGCTTCTATGTACAGCTTCCGGAACACGAAGGAGGGGATGGTGAGCAGCAGGGCCAGGCCCCAGGCCACGGCACAGGCCACCCAGGCCAGCGTTGCCCCTCGGTAGTTCTGACACCAGATGGGGTTGGACACCAGCAGAAAGCGGTCGGCGCTGATGGCGGCCAGGAGCAAGATGCTGGCGTACAGGTTGAGCAGGAGGAGGGCGGGGAGGATGTGGCAGGCGGCGTCCCCAAAATACCAGTGATTGTGATGCAGGATCGTCACGAACAGGACGGGCAGCGCCAGGCAGGAGAGCAGGTCCGCCACGGCCAGGTTGAGGAACCAGATGGCATTGATGGCTCGGCGGACCTCGATCCCCGTCACCCAGAGCACCATGATGTTGCCGGGCACTCCCACCAGGAAGACCACCGCAAAGATCACCAGGGCGAGCACGTCCGGGGTGCTCAGCCTCGCGGCGTAGGAAGTGTTATCCACTGGGCTGATGGGGTCCAAGGTGTAATTGTAGTCATAGTTGTAGTCTTCCAGGGCGTCCTGGGTGGAAGCAGAGAGGCAGGGAGAAGGTGAGTCTGCAGACAGGTGCCAGGGGGTCCACCAGAGCCATGTGGCTTTGAGCCCATCACCCCAGTTTTCTCCAGGAAATGGGGGCCTGCTGAGAGTCAGCAGGGGTGTCGCATCACTTATTAAAATACTAGAGGCCCGATGCACGAAATTCGTGCAGGAGTAGCCTTCCTTCCCCAGGCTGCCGGCACTGGCTTCCCTCCCGCCGCCGGCAGGCACCTGGGAGCCCCAGCTTTGTCCAGAAGGTCATCCTGAAGGATGTCCGGTCTAATTAGCATATTACGCTTTTATTATTATAGACTAGAGGCCCGATGCACGAAGATTTGTGGAAGAATGGGCCTTCCTTCCCCTGGCTGCCAGCACCGCCTTTGCTCCAGCCAGAGCCACCTTTCCACCTTCCCACACTGCCCTGAGGTCCGGAGCCGCTGGGGCGGTGCGGAATGCCTGCATCATCGCCATGGCGACAACACAAGCATCTTGCCCCACCCACGGCCGCTGGGCGCCTGCATATGCAAATTAACCCACCATCTTTGTTGGGTTAGTTTGCATAGTCACTCCCGGTTGGCTGGTGGGCGTCGCGAAGGTACGGCCAATTTGCATCTTTCTCTTTTATTAGTGTAGATGGAAAATTCTTCCTTGCTGATTGGACTCCCGGGCCCCCGCCTCCCCGCCACCTCCCCTTGAAGTTCCTGGATGTCCCCACAATTCAGCAATCAAATGATTAACGCCTAGGCTTGCTGCAAGCTGTGGTCACAACCCATGACACGCTGCTTGTTAGACATGCTTAATATCACCCACACACTGCGATGCTGTAACTGCGATGCTGTAACTATAACCAGGGTCCCGGTTACCCCTCACCACCACATCACCCCCTTTTGCTGCCTGGCACCCACGGGGGCAGCTCTGTGTTCTGTCTGTGAGTGGCGCCCTGGAGCAGACAGCAGTTCCCCAAGGCCCCCCGTACTCAGGCACAACCTTTAAGGCAGGGGGGAGAGGCGGGACACCGAAAGATGGAGTCACCAAGACAAATCATATCGTAATGCAATATTTTAAAGAATCAAAAGCACTTATTGCACTAGATGTACGTACCCCTGTGTTCATGTACAATAGCCACGATGTGGAAAGAACACAAGTGTCACCCTAACCGGTTTGGCTCAGTGGATAGAGCATCGGCCTGCAGACCAAAAGGTCCCGGGTTCGACTGCGGTCGAGCACGCGTACCTCGGTTGCAGGCTCCTCCCCCGCCCAGTCCTGGCCAGGACTCGTGCAGGAGGCAACCAATCGATGTGTTTCTCTCACAGCGATGTTTCTCTCTCTTTCCCTCTCTCTTCCACTCTCCCTAAAAATCAGTGGAGAAATATCCTCGGGTGAGGATTAACCAAAAAAAAAAAAAAAATCAGTTTTAAAAAAGAACAAAGATTATGATCTCTAATTACCATTTGCCATTCAAACAACCAGGACTCCTTGGAGAAGGGTTGATTCCTGTTCTGGGACAGGAAATAGATATGATGACCCCAGAACCTCTCAGAAAGTAAGGAAATTTTTAACAAGGACATGTCAAAGAGAGGGTTCCCACTAGTCAAAGACGGGAAAACTTGAGTACCTGATAATAAGAACTGTGAGGGAATGACACACATCCTATATAATAATCCTATATAATAAAAGCCTAATATGCTAAGTGTCTGACCGTTCAACCAGTCCCTATGACACACATTGACCACCAGGGGGAAGATGCTCTGACCGGTAGGTTAGCTTGCTGCTGGGGTCCAGCCAATCGGGACTGGGCGAGACAGCTGGACACGCCCTGGAGCCCTCCCTCGGCCCCTCCCCGGCCCCAATCGTGCACCGGTGGGGTCCCTCGGCCTGGCCTGCAGGGATCAGGACAAAACCGACTCTCCAACATCCCCTGAGAGGTCCTGAATTGCTAGAGGACGCAGGCCAGGCCGAGGGACCCCACCGGTGCGTGAATCCGGGCACCGGGCCTCTAGTTTATATATAAAGATCTGAGTTCACATCGATACTAAAAACATGCAAACCCATAGTCACCTTCACGTTCTGGAACGGGAAGGAATCAAGCATTTATCCTGCCATTTGTGTTTAGAGTAAGAGTCAGGGTTTTTTTTAGTTTGTTAGTCCTCACCTGAGGATATTTTCTCATTGATTTTTAGAGAGCGTGGAAGGGAGGAGGAGAGACAGAGAGAGAAACATCGGTGTGAGAGAGACACAGAGGTTGGTTGCCTCTCGCACAGGCTCTGAACAGAGAACAGCGCTGGGGATAGAGCCTGTGACGGCGGTGTGTGCCCTTGGCTGGAATCGAACCCGGGATCCTTCAGTCCACGGGCCTACAGTTTATGCACCGAGCCAAACCAGCCAGGGCGGGAAGTGGTTCCTTAGAGGAGAATCGAAGACTAACAGCTGTGGGAGGAATGATGGAATTAAGGAAATAATGGATCTGGGTGGTGACCATCGACATCTGATTAAAACCACCAGGTGAAAGATTGACAGGAACTTGACCGTCGACAGGTAGGGCTGGCACCCCGAGCCCAGCAATCAACCCAGCACCCCAAGAAGAACGAGACTTCCTGTACTCTCTGGTGTGAGGCAATAGAAGGGAACCAGCACCACCTATGAAGTAATTTTTGCCAAAAAAAAAAAAAATTAACATGAATCTAACCAAGGTTCTAAATCTAAAACTAGGAGTTTACAGGAAAGGCAGGGCGAGAGGAACACAATAAATAATACCACGGGGACGAAACCAACCCGATCAGACCGTGGGAGACACTACAGGATAAATGGTCGGGTTTCTCCCCCTCATAAATAGCATTTTTTTAAAAAAAAGAAAGAAGGAAAGGGAAGTGTCATGGATTAAAAGAGATTTAGGAGGCATATCAACCAAAGGCAACATGGAGACCTCGTTTGGATCCTGGTTGGAATAATCGACTGGGAAACAAGACAGTTTGAGACACTGTGGGGAATTTAAAAGTGGCCTGGCCAGCCCGGCCGGCGTGGCTCAGGGGTTGAGCATCGACCTCTGAACCAGGAGGTCACGGTTCGACTCCCGGTCAGGGCACATGGGCACATGCCCAGGTTGCGGGTTTGATCCTCAGTGTAAGGTGCACAGGAGGCAGCCTCTCTTATCATTGATGTTTTTCTCTCTCTCTCCCTCTCCCTTTCTCTCTGAAATCAATAAAAAAAAATTTTTTCTTCAAGTGGACTGGATATTTGACAATAAGAAGGAATCGATGATACTTTTATTGAGGGTGACAAGTATTGTGTTTATGCTTTTGCTATGTTTCTCTCTCTCTCCCTCTCTCTCTCTCTCTCTCTCTCTCAAAATCTATTTTTTTAAATAAAAATTAGCCTGGCTGGTGTGGCTCAGTGATTGAGCATCAACCCCATGAACCAACAGTTCACTGGTTCTATTCCCGGTCAGGGCACATGCCTCATCATTGATGTTTCTGTCTCTCTCCCTCTCCCTTCCTCTTAGAAATCAGGGAAGGAGGGAGGAGGGGGA